GTGAGACTAGTGAGAGTTAGATGTTTGACCTAGTCTCTTGGTCAATGACGGAGTGTTCGCATCTACTCTCGGGCAGATATTATCGTTAATAATAGGATGCCAGACCTGACCCACCTTAAGGGCATTGCCTAGACTTTTAGTCTATGCTCTAAATGTCCTTAATGCGACTATTGGTATAACAATCCTCAGACTTGAAGTATTACGTTCTTCGAATGTGTACCCAGGCTTTGTATTGGGCATGCCGCTGCACATATTCAAAGACGTAGATTACGTACAAAGAATTTGTCACTGCTACTCAAGCAGAATAATGTCTTGTAGGGGCCCACTGATAAGTATGACTGAAGAAATGCATGGCCATGCTGAGATGAGTTTAGACATCTGTTCTCATCAGTCAGACTTGTTAATCAGTAAATAACTTAATGGCTACAAGTTGGATATTTTATATCCCTTGCACTAAGTTAAGACATTGGGACAAAAGGATCTACGTTATACAAAGTCTTAGTCGTAAAAAGGTTTTGACGGAGCAAACGTCTGAACTTATAATCTTGGGGTAATAATGTGTTGCTAGATACCGCTTATTACTTATAGTATTGGTGTAGAGTCAATACTGTGGCCAGTTTTATAAGTGCCTATATGGGTCACACACTTTGGACAATTTAAAGAGTAGGATTATATAAAAGGATAATATTTAATTTGTATATTGTAAAATAGTAAAGTAAAATGTTTAATATAATATATATATGTATGTATATACATTGTACACGGCACATAAATATATATATACATATACTTATTATATGTACAAGCATACATATGTGTGTAATATGTATGTAACGTGTATATGTATTAAACATTACTTTATATATATATATTATATTGTGTACATTTTATTTTGGAGTGTCATTTTAATTATGAAAATAATTATTTTGACAAAAACTGTTTTAAAGTATATATTATATACTTGTTTTAAAATGTTTTGAGTATTTTATTTTATATCATAAAAATTATTGATGTCAAATAAAATACACTTTGAACATTTGAGAGGAGAAGAATTAAATTCTTTTCCCCTTTCTTTTCGTACATAACCTTGTGTGTGGGGGGACTTTGTCTCCAACTACACCTCATATCATTTGTACTTTTGGAACCTAGCCTTTGAAATTGGTTTTATGCTTATTCCTTTCAATGATTATAAAATAATTTCACCTCTCCTTTTTGAGGCAAGCCATTTTTTCGGCCAAGTGAGTTTCGGCCAAGAGAGAAGTAAAGGGAGAGAGAATTATTTTGGGTACCAAAATTATTTTGGTGTAGAAAATTGTTATAATATTTTCTTTAAAATATTATTGATATATTTTCTACTATTGAATATACAAGATTTATATTATCCCTAAAATAATCTTTATATTAAATATACTATTATAATCTTTACTAGCATAAAGATTATAGTAGACTCCGGAGATTGTTCGTGTGTCAAAGTTGGAGGCCGGACGCTTGAACGGCTACGTTTGCTCCTTCAACATCTTTTGCTCGACTTCTCGTTCATACCGCTTTTCTGGAGAAGGTATACGTTTCTATCTCTAGCTATAGTTTTAGTACGTATTCTTGGGCTAGTAATCACTCACTATTGGGAGATTAAAGTTTTGTATTTCCGCTGCCCTCCCTACCATTGTTACCTTTCAGTCTTCGTGTTTGTCGTTATAGCACTTTGATTTTGACTTGAATAAATTGTGTTTGTCAATTATCAAAACCTATGAGTCAACACTTAACAACACAGAAAGGGTTGAACTCATGCATTCCAACACACACCCATAACAATTCTCCATATTCGTGGCGAGAGTAATGGTTTTAGAAAAGCCTGTAAAGGATTCTCCATAAAATAATGCTCCATATAAAGCCACCAAATAGAACCACCAACATAACCATAATTCACAAGAGCATACCACCATAAAAGAGAGGAAATATCCAAGAGTAAGAGCCTCCTCCTGATAGTCCCAATTGATTCCACCAAGAAAAATTGTAGGGGCAATGGAGTAAAAAATAGCCCACCAAGCAGGCCAGATGAAGCAACAGAGAGTATTAACTGAAAGTGGCAGCTTTATCAGGCTTAGCACTAGTCGAGACATAACTAGGAAACTGTCTAAGATCGAATTGGTGTAACTTTTGTGCTTCAAGGGGCAGGTCAAAAACCGAGAAAAACTGAGTGGAGTGTAACTGATTACAGCTCCACATCACAAAGAAATGAGGCAACCTGTTAAAACTCGCTTCTCACACACCAAAAAGGAGTTCTTAACACAAGAGAGAAGAAAATGAAACTTACTCAAATAAGCATCCTGTTCAGGATTAACCCCAAGTTGAAGAGAAGGTAATTCTTTTTCATCAGTCTTTATAATAATACTCTTGAAGCCATGTTCCAGTCCCCAGCTTAAAACTTGGACTCCAACCTCCAAATAAACCATGTAATTTTGTTTAGGACTGGAAGAGGCATAGCCAAAAAGAAAATCCCCTTTGCTATTTTTGAGAACATCAGCTGCAATAGTTTGATGAGGAAATTGGCCTCCAGCAAGATTGAGCTTAACAGAATCGCCAACAAACCTTTTTGATCATAAAAGATTTAGGTAGAGTGCCTGAGAGATTGAACACTCTTTTCCAGTGGGGAAGAACTTCATTTAAAGAAGGCCACTTCCTCGATGCAGCTTCAGCAGCTTCTTTCCCCACAAGGTGGATGATTCTAGACACAGAGTAATCACAGTCCCCATATTTGAGTGAAGAATAGGCTCTCCAGACCCCCTAAGAATGAAGATAAGGACACACTGCTGAAGAAATTCTCTAACAGAAGGTTTCTTGGAAGAGAAATTTACCTAAATAGGACTAAAACATAATGACTTTCCCAATATAGGACCATATGTTTTTATTTCCCAATGTAGGACCTTTGGTCATTATCAAGTAGTCATTATTCAACTAAATGTCCATCATTACTGGATATTATTCCTTCCACAAGGTCATTATTAAGTCTTATTTAGGGAATAAAAAAGTTTAAGTCCTACATTAGGAAAGTCATTATGTTTTAATCCTATTTAGGGCCTGTTCTTTAGGACTGGAAAAAAAGAGCTGAAAACTGGAAGAAACTAGAAAAAACTGGAAGAAACTGGAAGGAACTGGAAAAAACTGGAAGGAACTGGAAGGAACTGGAAAAAACTGGAAGGAACTGGAAGAACTGGAAGAAACTAGAAGAAACTGGAAGAAACTGGAAAAAAACTGGAAGGAACTGGAAGAAACTAGAAGAAATAGGAAAAAATTAAAAGAAATTGAAAAAACTAGAATAATTTGTAAAATCTAAAATAAAATTTTAAAAAAATTTTATGTGCGGTTTTAAATTATTCTCATTCTGATTCTTGTTGATATAAATTATTATTATTACTATTATTATAATAATAATTATTATTGTTGTTGTGGTTGTTGGTGGTGGTCGTGGTGGTCGTGGTAGTACTGGTGTTATCACTATTAACCATAATTTTAACCATAATTTTTATTCATATAAAAATATTCTATATAACTATTTTACCATAATTTAGATTAAAAAATATTCTATATAACTATTTAACCATAATTTTTTAAATAGTTTCCTAATTTTTCATGTAGATTAATATACAAAAAAATGGTATTATTCATATTAAAAAGTTGAAGAAAAAAATAATGAATGTGAATCATAAAAATAGTTAGATGAAAAAATGAATTAATTTATAAACTATAGTTATGAACATAAAAGTTGTAATTAAAAAAATTGTAATAATAATAATCATTATAATAATAATATACTTGGTCCGTCCCTGAGTGTTTATCCACTTTTGACTTTTGGAACTATTAATCTAAGCACTTTGACTCAAAAAAGTGCATTGGATGGTGTCTAAAAATGAAAGTGGACAAACACTCAGGGATGGAGGGAGAATTTTTAGAGTGATTTGTCAAAAGGTAGAAAGAATTTGAAGAAAATAAATATAGTTGGAAGAAATTAGAAGAAACTGGAAAAACTGGAAGAAACTGGAAGAAACTGGAAAAAACTGGAAGAAACTGGAAGAAACTGGAAAAAACTGGAAGTTAAGAGTTCAAGTCCTAAAGAACAGGCCCTTAGTGCAAATTTTGTTAGACGCCTCGCACACCTCTAGAGGGGGGGTGAATAGAGGTGTTGCCCAAAAGACCAGTTTTTTTGCGCGGAAACGTTCTTCACGAATATTCAATAAAAACAATGCACCACAAACAAAATAAAGTGAAGGATAAGAGCAATGCACACACGATATATACTGGTTAGGCCTAAATGCCTACATCCAGTCCCCGAGGCAATCGTGCCCAGGCCTTATCTAACCCGTCAAACTTAACGGAGTTTGACAATCCGAATACAACTCGAGAACTTGATTTCACAAGCCTCTTATCTTACCACCAAAGTTTTGATTTAACAAAACTCAGGATTTCTTCCACCTAACGTTTGATTTCACAAACCGTTAGGATTTTTACCCCTTGGTGTAATCCCAACACCAAGAATACAAATCCCTTACAATAAAGTAAGAAAACAAACCGCAACCGAGTAATTCTCCCAACACGGAGTAGATTGTTGCAAATACAATGAAGCCCTTTAAAATATGGCAATATCTCTCAAAGACTCAAGCAATGAGGAAAAACTCAAGCAAGAAATGATTTAGCAATCAAAACAATTGCCTTGCTTGGATGTATGGAGGGGATTGAGTAGAATCTCTTTGGATATTCAAAGGATATATTTTTCAAAGTGTTCTTAGTGCTCTTATGAAGATAATCACGAAAGTAGATAGTTTATAGAAGTTAGGGAGAGGATAGGGATGAAAAGCATTCAAAAAACTAGCCATTTGGTAGTTGAAACTGTCGACTTATTCGAATAAAATCATATTTATCCAAATAGGACAGAGCGAAAAACGCAGACTTATTCGAATAAATTAAGGTTTGTTCGACTAAATCACTGTAGGATTGAAGAAATGAAATTCAGGACTTATTCGAATAAACTGCTATTTATTCGAATAAGATAGAACTGAAAACTCAGTTTTATTCGAATAAAACAAAAGTTATCCGAATAGTTCTCACAGTTTTGAAAAAGTTATTTTGCAAAAGATTCAAAAACAATTTGAAGGGTTTTTGGAAAACATTTTCAAGGAGGGAAAAACAACTAACGTGCCATACACTTTAACAAAAATGCTAAGATCTGAAACACTACCCAACTAAGGAAACAACCTCTTCGGTCTCGTTCCTTCCACTGATGCTCAAGTCCCTTCTTCACGGACGGATATGAACTTGTTGTAGCTTTGATTCTTAGCCTTGATGCACAATATGATGATGATGTTTTGTCACCCTTTTGTCATTATCAAAACCTAAAAGACAATGGGCAAAGGAAATTGCAAAAATACATATTCATAATAGCACATTGTCCAACAAATTTCACTTCTTGGAATGAAGCTTGTTCTTCCACCATAAATTCAGATGTTGCCTAATGGTGTGAGAACTTCCATGGATACCAAACATATACTCATAATGCTTCCAAACTTGATGAGCAGGTTCCCCATTACAAAAAAACATGTTCCAAACTTTCTACCTGGGGATGAGTGCAACAGTAGCATTTGGAGGCAGTGGGGATTCCTATATGCATGAGGAAATCATCCATGGGAAGTTTCTGAAAAAGGACCCTCCAGTACAGGCAGGAAAGAAATTTTAAAAGGAACATAAGGATGCCAACAATTAACAATAACATTTTCTACTGAATTATTGGGCCTTAGAAAATGCTTAACAGCATGCATGGAAAATTGACCATTGCTCTTGGGTTTCCAAATGGGCTGGTCAGGCACATTGGAATCAAGCAGATCCAGATTCACATTAAAATGGAAGAAAAGGCTAGGATCCAGAATGTCAACAAGCTTGGAATAGTCAAACTATCTGTTCAAAGTATAGGTTTTTAATGGTTCTAAAAGATATTTCCCATTGGGTTGGTTAGAGACAGCACCAAGCGCCCCAATGCCAATTCAATTGTCCCACCAAAAACTAACTATGCCATTACAGATTCTCTAACCAATAAAGGGTTCAATATGTGGCCTAATGGAAGTCATTCTCTTCCATACATGAGAACCTCCATATTGCCATTTTTTAACAACAAGATGTACCCGAGGACAATATTTAGTTTTTAGAAACTGCCCCCATAAAGAGGATTCAGTTCTAAAGTTCCACCACAGTTTAGCACTGTTAGCATCTACCAAGGCTTTCATGGAAGAAAAGCCCAGACCCCCTTCACAGGTAGGATGACTAATGTGTGCCCAGGAACTCGAGTGGTATTTCTGTCTGTTATCCTGACTTCCCCAAAAGAAATTAGCAAAGTGTTGTTCCAATTTGTGAAGGACTCCCTTTGGGGGGGGGATAGTAGAGAATAAATGAGCTGGCATAGCTTGCAAAACACTTTTAATCAAAACTTGTTTCCCTCCATAAGACAAGAGTTTTCCCTGCCATCTTTGACACCTTTGACCTACTTTATGAAGTAAGGGGGTAAACTAACAATTTCTCATCCTTCCTCTATATATTGGACAACCCAGATACTCAAAAGGAAAGGATTTGTGGACAAATTGAGTAATACCATGCACTCTCTTTATAGAAGCAACAGAAGTGTGAGGGTGCATGTAAAAGGAGCTCTTATGCACACTTATCAGTTGTCTAGAAACCTGCACATAAGTGTGAAGGTCCTGCATAATGAGATGTATAGCTTTACCTTCTCCAAAGGTGAAGATAATCATGTCATCAGCAAAGGCTAAGTGATTCAAAGGGGGGATTCCTTTGGGTTGGGAGAAGAGACAGGAAGCCTGTTGCTGGAGTCTCTAGTTTAGCATATGGGAAATGAGCTCAGCTCCAATGATAAACAATCCAGGAGACAAAGGATCCCCCTATCTCAAGCCCCTACTAGATGTAAAAAAGCCTTCTCTAGCTCCATTGATTATAACTAAATACCAGTTATTAGACAAAAGTCTAAAAATGATATCAATCCACTTAGCACTGAACCCCAATTTCCTCTGAATTTTATTCATGTGACATGTAGTACCAGGAGACCCTATCATAGGCTTTGGCCATATCCAGTTTAAAGATAATATCTCGATTGGTAGCTTTCATCCCATGGCATCCTGTGCCAACAACAAATTCTCAGTGATGGATCTGCCTTTAATGAATCCAGATTAGTTGGGAGATATAATCTTTGGTAAAACTTTAGCAATCCTAGAATCTAAAACCTTAGAAACAATTTTGCTACTGAAGTTACATAGGCTTATAGGCCTAAAATCAGCAAATGTGTTGGGACACTCCACCTTGGGGAGGAGGATTATAGAAGTATGACTAATGCCTTTGGAGAAATAGTCCCCCAAAAAGAATCCTTGAACCATCAGAAGAATGTCCTTATTGATAATGGACCAACAAGATTGGTAAAATTTCCGAGTAAAACCATCAGGTCCAGCAGCACTATTGGGGTCCAAGGCAAAAACAGCATTTTTAGTCTCCTCCATGTCAGGTTGTGCCACCAGCGTATGATTATCTTCCTCAGTGACAAGATTAGGAACACAATCTAACACCCTAAAATCAGGTGGTAATCAATGAGGGAAAATATAAAGAAAACTTACTGCTTTGTCTTTTTTGAAGTATGACGGAGGGTACTCAATTTTTGTGAGTTGTTTTACTTTTTAGAGTAAAAAAATTGGATATTAATATCTAGTTTGTGTTTTTTGTTCATGGTGATCAGTTGAAAACAAGGTGAACAGAATAGGATACAATTAAGAATATACTCTCTCCGTCCAAAATTAATGTTCTCACTTTGACTTGGCACGGAGTTTAAAAATTGAAATTTGCTTTGACTTCCCTAAAATGCCCCTCCCCTGTTTCTTCTTTTCCTATCCATCCATCTTCTATCGGAAATGGGATTGGCGACAAGACCTCCTCCCTGCTCCGCCACTAGCTCCGGTGGCTGCCTTACCGTGTCAACTCCCATCGCTGCCTCGCTGCTATACCGTCATCGCCTTCCGCTCCTTCAATTTCAAAAAAAAAGACGAAGAAGGAAGAAATCTCTTTCGAATCCAACACACCATCATCAATGTACTCCACCACCACAATAGATTTCTTCATCGCCGTTGACCTTTTTCACTGATCCGAATCGGATTTCCAGATCTGGATTGGGGGACAAAAAAGAAGAAAAATGGGAAGGGGGAGGGAGAAGAAGATGAAAAGAAGAAATGAAAAAGAAAAAAAAAGAAAAAATTGGGAGGAGGGGAAGAAGAAAGAAGAGGAATGAAAAAGAAAAGAAAGGAAATGGGGAGGAGGGGAAGAAGAAAGAAGAAAAATGAAAAAGAAAAGAAAGAAAAAACCGGGAGGGGGGAAGAAGAAAGAAGAGAAGAAGGAAATGAATAAGAACAGTCAAAAAAAGAGAAAGGAGAAGAAACGAGAGAAGAAAAAAGAAGGAAAAAGGAGAGGAAAAGTAAAAGAAAGTGAGGGTAGATATGTCTTTTTGACAAAAAAAAAGTAACCAAAAAAGGAAATGGGAACTTTATTTGTGGACGGACCGAAAAGAAAAGTGAGAACTTTATTTATGGACGGAGGGAGTAATACCTTAGAAATATGAGAATTACTCTAAATTAAGAGACGCCTATATAAAAAAAGGGATGCACAGATTAAGTAAAAGGTGTTGTAGAAAAGGTCTAATTTCCTGGATCAATTTCATCTGCCAAATACGCAGCTAAAAAAGAGAGCACTTACTATTTGTGGAGTGATAGCGGCAGCTGCCACATACATATCCAGTTAGCTAATGGGTATGCCAATTCTCTTGACTCCAAGATCTCCTCATACATACATACATATATACATACATACATACGTACGTACGTACGTACCTACATACATACGTACGTACCTACATACGTACATACATACGTATGTACGTCCGCACACGCGCACACGCGCACACGCACACACACACACACGCGCGCGCGCGCGCGACACAC